AAAAAAAAAAAAAAAAAAAAAACTGAAAAAACTACAGAGACTACGCCGTCTGGTGGTGAAAATTGAATACTGCAGGATGTAGCTCCAATGTACGGAAGCGCTACAAAGAATTATAATATTTACGTGGCTTAAATGCTTTTCTTTACATTCAAAGTCAAATTTTAGCTCCGAATTTTACGTTGCTTTTCTATGCTTTTTACTTGCTCCCATCCATGGAAGATTTAAAAAGAAATAAAAGCATATCTAATTTTTTTTTAAAAAGTCCTTATAAGATATCAGTCCTTTAATGCACACCATGTTCTTCGGGTTCTTAAATTCTGCTCAGTTTTATTTTATATCACTTCTAGTTATAGATTGTGCCATTTAAAACATTTAAAGAATTAACACAAACCAAAAATACAGAAGGAACAAGAGAGACGCCGCCCTCTGGTGGTGAAAATTGAATACTGCAGGATGCAGCTCCAAAGCACTATATTATTTATGAGTCTTATAGTCTTTTCTTTACATTGTCATTGTCAAATGCTGGCTCCGAATTTTATTTAGCATTTCTATGCTTTTTACATCCTGTTTTGTTAGGCTTTTCTTTTGATAACTATACAGCTCAGAGCCACGGACAATTTAAGTCGTTTTACTTCGTATGTCACTCTCCTTTAGCATAATTGACAGTTTTCGTTATTAATCGCATTTAAACGCTTAAAATTTGTAGATTTCGACCCAAATTTGGATTATAACTTCATTTCCTCCTTAAATTAAATGTAACTCCTTTTAATTTTACTGACCGGTCAGTGAAGCTTACGCCGGGTGTACGTCATCACTCCGCGACACGTCACTGGGAGTGCATTGCATGAGCTAACGGTGTGAAACTCAATTTAGAGCGAGTAAAAATATTTTCAGACTAAATTGGAGTTTTTAAACTCTCGCTTTTGGTTATATTAAAAACGTAAAGCATATTTTTATAGAGGTTTGGATAATTTAAAGAAACAGCGTCGCAGTTTGTTTGGTTCTTGCAGCAGCCTGACATCTGGGAACTGATTGACTTCTTTACATATCAATTATAGTTCTCTTGTTTGGGTTTCGGAGTTTGTTTTGACATTATAAATAGCTTTTAGGTTTAGTTTTGGGTTTGAAGATGAACGAAGAAGGTGAGTTTCTCTCATCCTGTGCTCTGTGGTTCTCAGAGATGCTAAAACTTGTGTCTGTTTGTGGTCAGAACTGGTGGAGTACTTCAGGGCTCAGATGAGCAAAGACCCAGACATGGCTTCAGCTGTGGCAGCCATCCGGACCCTGCTGGAGTTCCTCAAGAGAGACAAAGGTGTGGAGTTCAAATGCTGTCTGGAACTTTTGATGATTAACTCAAATATTATTAGATAGGCATTAATCCTTTATAGTATCCTTCAGTGAAATACTGTGAAAGTACACATTTCAAGCCAACAGTGTTATTGGAATCCAGGATAAGACCTTATTAGCTTTGTAACATAAAAAATATGGATATTTTGATGGCAAAAATTGATGTCAACAAGAAACGCCAACTTGCCCAAAAATGTTTCTATAAGAAATTAATGAAAAACATTCTGAGTGAAAGAAACACATTTTCTGGTAAAAAAAAAACATAACCTTAGAGGCATTAATGCTGATACTAGCACTTACATTCTTTAGTTTATAAGCCTAAATATAATTGTTAAATAGGCTTATTAACTTTAACTTTTTTAATTAGCTTTTTCCTCTTTTTTTTTATTGAATTATTAACTTTTTTCAATTTAATTTACAGTAGTTAAAATCTCATTCAAGTGCTCATCTAATTGATCAAATACCAAAATAAGATATACAGCCATGTAGCAGCATCTTTGCTGAATGCCTGGATATAGATCTTGTGCTTCTAGACCTCACTGAGGGACGAGGGGGTATGCAAGTGATCAAAAACAGTAACTTGCCCTATAGAGGGTTAAGAGCCAAATGACCAAGTAGTCGTATCAAAGCATATTGAACAGGCTAAAGTGGCCTGTAGGAAACTACAGCTACATGACGACGTTTTCAGCAGAAAGTCTAAGCAGATGTTCAGAGCTGAATGAGAAAGCTGTGGGGTGAGAGTCAACAAATGTGGATCATTAGGTATCTAAATCAAGAAATAAAAGAATTGTATTTATTCCTTGTAGATAGAGCAATAAATCAGCCAGAAGATATTTCTGACCAATACTGGTGTTTATTACCTTCACCAAGGAGGCCTTTGCTTTTAGGAGAGTCTCTCTGTGTGTACAGGACAGCTTGAACAGCTATGGACGGATTTTAATGAGATTTGTATCAGATGTGTCCCTCAACCCTCATAAACCTAAATATAATTGTTAACTAAGCTTATTAACTTTTAAACTTTTCAGTTAGCTTTTTACCTTTTTTTCTTGACTTAGCTCTTCTTTAACTTAACTTCCAGTGGGTAATATCTCATTCAAGTGCTCATCTAATTGATCAAATACCAAAATAAGATGTACAGCCATGTAGCAGTATCTATGCTGAATGGCTGGATGTAGATCTTGTGCTTCTAGACTTCACAAAAGGACAGGGGGAGTCCATTTGTAATGGGTATGTAAATGATCAAAAATGTTAACTTGCTCTATAAAGGCTTAATGGCGTCATCAGGTCCAGGTGAGTTTAGGTCAAACTGATCCAGATTCAGTATTGGATCATAAATCTCAAATAATACAACACTAATAAGATGGCAATATAATGCTTGTTTCTGGATTATTTTAATTCAGGGGGCCCTAAATCAGCCTGTTCATTTTATGTTTTAGTTTTTTTTTTAATATACCTTAGAGCAGGGGGGGTCAAAGTGGTTCCAGAAAGGGCCGTGTGGCGGCTGCAGGTTTTCTTTCCAACCAAGCAACACCAGACCAGACTCCATTCATCTCATCAAGTGAGTCCAATCTGAACATGATGACTCGATGAGATGAATGGAGTCTGGTGTGGTGTTCCTTGGTTGGAAAGAAAACCTGCCGGCCGCCACACGGCCTTTTCTGGAACCACTTTGACACCTGTGCTAAAGTATCGCAGGAGAACTAGTGTTTGAGAGCAAACAATGCACCTCAACAGCAGCAATACTCTTAAAGCATTAACACAGCAGCAAATGAAAGTACTACTGACCCAAACTTCTTTTCCACTTTGGTCCTAAAAAGAAATAACGACCCGCCTTTTTAATACCAACTCCACCGACACCAAGGGTGTAACTTTGTGATGAAAGTTGGTGGGGACACTCTAAGGGTGGCAGCTGATGGAACTACAGTTACTAAACCCGAACGCTTTCATTGGGTTTTTATATTTTCCAAAAATGAGCTAAAATATATATTTATTGAATGCTTTCCTATTGTTGAGAACCCAAGAGAAAATCATAATATACTGATATTTATATTTATAGATACAGAGATGCCTTTTAGTGTATTATATATATAGGGCCCAAAAACAATGTATAAAAAAAAAAAACGAATAACAGCCGATTCTGATGCCGAAATCAATTTATCATGCGTCCTTAAAATGCATAATTTCATATCCATCCATCCATCAAGAAAAATATGCTGCATTTTAAATATAGAATAGCATATTTTTTTCCTTGTACAATTTCTGGTAAACTTGGAAATATACCGTATTAGTGTTGCATTGATGCCCTTTTTTGGCCCCGATACCTGGCTGTGTAGTTTTGGCTGATGCCGTCTGTTTGAAATTGATGTGTGTGTATATATGAGGAACTTCATACTACTTGGATGTAAAATAATTGCGATCATGGCTTTATCAAGCTGCTGCCTACCTTTGTGAAGCAGGAAAAAGACTAATACAAAGTGAATCCAGTAGAACTTTTTATTGCCTACCAGGAATGGGTGACAATAATTGAATAAACTTTTGGCTCTCAGAATGGTATTGGTGCCCTATTTGTTGGTACTCTCCGACACCGATACCACCATTTTAAAGGAATAGTACACCCAAAACATGATTAGCCTTCATTTTCTACTCACCCCCATGCTGAACAACACTCTGGAGTACTTTTTTGATATCTCAAATGCATCTGGAGATCTGGGAGGCTTCTTGCTGTCTGCTGACATTCAAATAATGGAGGTCTATGGCGCCCGAGACAGAAAGGTCCATAAAAGTCCACAAAAAACGTGTCAATATTCCTCCATACTGCTCGTCCAATGTATTCCAAGTGTCCTGAGTGGGTAGCATCCAGAATTTACTCGAAACGAAGCCATTTAGAATGTTTTTAGAGCATAAACAGTAGTGTATAGGATTTCCTAAAAGCGCGTTCACGAGTCTACGGAAACCGCGGCAGACCAAACCAGATGAAAGTGCGCATTCAGCGTCTGCTCTGCCAATAATGCAAGCGTAGAAGAAGAAATGTGCTGTTTACCTGTGCAAAGAAAGAAACAACGAAAGAAAAATGTCTGAGGACTTCAGTGTTGAGGAAGAGCATGAGTTCTTTACCGAGCTGAATGCGCTGGTTTGGTCTGCCGGCTTCCGTAGCTTCGTGAGCGCGCATGTGCGCGCTTTCAGGAAATCCTATACACTACTGTTTATGCTCTAAAAACATTCTAAATGACTTCGTTTCGAGTAAATTCTGGACGCTACCCACTCAGGACACTTGGAATACATTGGACGAGCAGTATGGAGGAATATTGACACGTTTTTTGTGGACTTTTATGGACCTTTCTGCCTCGGGCACCATAGACCTCCATTATTTGAATGTCAGCAGACAGCAAGAAGCCTCCCAGATCTCCAGATGCATTTGAGATATCAAAAAAGTACTCCAGAGTGTTGTTCAGCATGGGGGTGAGTAGAAAATGAAGGATAATCATGTTTTTGGTGTACTATTCCTTTAATGCTGATCGGGGCCCCGCCCGATACTGGCATCTCAAAATAAAACAGAATTCAGTAAATCCAGAATTGTAAAATAAAGGAATCTTTTTTTAAAAACTGCTTTCCATTTGTCCTTAGAGTAATTGAACCAGCGGAGCAGGATTTCTTTAACTACTTCCTGATTATTTTTAACGGGTCGTTCTAAATGTGTGCCTCCGTCCCTTCAGGTGAAACCATCCTGGGCCTGAGGGAAAGCCTGACTTCAGCCACAGACTGCCTGAAGGGAGAGGACTCCTCTGTGGCCGTGTCCTCTGGAGGAGAGCTCTTCCTGCGCTTCATAAGCCTGACGTCGCTGGAGCACGAGGTGGGTGAAGGTTCACTTGTTTATTAATCCTGAACGCCTCCAACAGGGACTCCAGCTGGCGTGTTGCTAAGTGTATAAGCAAACATTTTACAAAGTATTGTCCTCCTTACAGATGTCATGCTTCATTTTCTCCCTGAAATGTTTCAGATCATCAAAGCATCAGGATTGCTAAACGAAAAAAAAGTTAGAAAATGTAGTTTTTTTCTTTCCAAACTAACATGACTATGTGTCAGAGGAGCTGCCTCCAAAATCTACTTTCATTTCTCCCCTTTTCTTTGTTTTGATTTCGCTGGACATGAGAATTTCACAGATTAAAACAGCAGTTTAGGATTAAGCTAAATAATCTCAGTTAGTTTCAATTCCAGGCTTTGATTGGGACACACTAAAACCTAAATCTAGTTGTATTTCTTTAGAGGTAAACTTTTTGTTGTACTGAAGTAGAGTTGGAGCTTAATCTCTCAGAATGATAGTAAAACCTGCAGCATTTTCTGCTGTAGAAAAATCGTGGTGCCATAAACTTCCCGCCTACATTTGACCGCAAATTGAAGCTAAAGTACGTTTGGTTCTTAATTTCCCCCAATTATTAGAGAATAGTAGGATTTCTACGCAGTTTTACTTCAGTGGCAGTGAAATCCTTTTAAAATCCACATTTCAAACCAATTATGTTATTGGAATCCAGGACAAAACATTACTACATTTGTAACTTTCAAAAATATGGATATTTTAATGGTAAGAATTAATGTCAATTTAATAAGAAACACCAACTTACCCGAATATATTAAGAAAAATAACAAAAGTGCTTTTATAAGAATTTCATAAAAATAAAAAAATAAACATTTTTTGTGGTTACAACATAACCTTAGATACATTAATGCTGATACTGGCACTTGAACTTTTTAGTTTATAAACCTTAATATAATTGTAAACTTATTAACTGTTCAATGAGCCTTTTACCTTTTTTCTTGACTTGTTAATTTTTTTTCCAACTTAATTTCCAGCAGCTAATATCTCATTCAAGGGCTCTTCTAATTGGTCAAATGCCAAAATAAGATGTAGAGCCATGTAGCAGCATCTTTGCTTAATGGCTGAATATAGATCTTGTGCTTCTAGATCTTACTGAGGGACGAGGGTAAATAAAATGCTTCTGTGTTTTATTTAGAGTAAATAAAACACAGAAGCAGTCTTGAATCATTTTGTTAAAGAAGCTGAGAACCTTTTTTTTTTTTCTCTTCTGTTGCTGAATCTCTATTGACTGGAGGGTTGAACCGATTCTACTGAAGTGATAAGGCTTTGGTGCTGCTGCAGCTCTCACCACACTAACATCCATTTCTGTCTGCAGGATTTGTCTCGTTGTAAGAAAGTAATGGAGGAAAGAGGAGAACTATTTCTGGAGAAGATCTCCATGTCCAGGACCAAAGTAGCTAAGCTCTGCCACACTTTCATCAAAGATGGAGCCGTAAGTAATAGCCGCGTCTTATTTCTTGCTCTTTGCGTCTCATTAATCTGGAGCATTTCCTCTCAGAAAATCCTGACCCATTCATACTCCAGAGTGGTCCTGAGAGTGTTGGAGAAAGCCGCCGCAGAGAAGAAGCGCTTCTCGGTCTTTGTGACCGAATCGCAGCCTGACGCCACCGGGTGAGCGACAATTTGAGCTGTGCTCTGCCCCAAGGACGCAAAAAATAATTCAGTTTTCTTCTTTCTTTCTTGAAGACGGCAGATGGCTGAAGCCCTAAAGAAACTGAACGTTCCAGTGACGGTAGTGCTGGATGCAGCTGTAGGGTAAGAAAGCCGTTCGGGGAAAATAATTTGTTTATTTTGTCTTTCATCTCCAGTTGAACTTTACAACTGAAAAGATCAGTGAAATATAACTCTAAGCTAACGATTACAGCAGTATTTATTTAGCACGATATAAAATAAACTTTGAAAAACTTCCATTATAAAGGCAGTAGAAGACCATTTTAATGGTCAAATATGAAATAGAAAGTAAAACCAAAAATAGCATGGTACCTTAAGGTAAATCTTGTGGAACTCCAGTATTGATTCAATATAAAATGCTTGATTTTATCTGTTCAAAATATATATTTATATATATAATATATATATAATATATATTACATCCCTTGTCTATAATTAAAATGTAATTCTACATTTAAAATTTTCACAGGCAGTGAAAGTGAATCCAGATAATTTATTGATTTTTTTATATTAACGTTAGGAATAATATAAACAAGGAACCTTGTTTTACTTGTTTCTTTCGTCCCTCAGGTACGTGTTGGAGAAAGTGGATCTGGTCATCGTTGGTGCTGAGGGCGTCGTTGAGAGCGGAGGGATCATCAACAAGGTGAGCTCATTTTTTACAGCCTCAGCAGAGATATAATCAAATGAAGCCTGGACTATCAGGCTATCAAACATAATCTGCACCTTTTCTCATCCAGCGGATGTAAACTATACAGGAGACTGTTTCAGAATGGGATTATTTACCCAGGATTCATGTTGCTGAGTTAGCATTTATCATAAATAGGCTAATATATTACCATAGTAAATTAGCCCCACCCACCAGCGGCCAAAATCATTTCTGCCTGCGAGTGGTCTAGCCTCGATCAGTGCCCCAGGCCCTAGAACTGGCGGGCCAATCACAACGCAGAAATGTATTTTGAATGGCAACTATTGAACAGTTGTAGTTTGACTCAGCTTTGGAATCGGTTTTGGAAGGATTAGACTTGGGGTTTTCGTTGAAACGTGAGCAGGAAGAGACTCTACACTCATTAATTTTTAAGAAGGACGTATTCGCCGTTTTACCGACAGGCTGTTTGTTTACACTCCCCCACCAGCTTTCTGTCGCTCTTACTATGTCACAGTCAGTTGCTCTCATTGGTCAGAGCGTTGGCCAATAGGTACAGACAGCGGTTTGAAAGACAACAGGTTGTTCTCATCAACAATCTTCCGATGTCTCATTCATCGGGGCCAGAATAAATTACACATTTAATCTCACATTTAGTCCAACCCAGTCTCATGGGAAAATGTACCCCCACTACGTTGGGCCACACTGCAAAACGTAGTGGAGGTACATTAATGGCCATTTTTTTGTGGTACTGTTACGTTTCTTCTACCTATACGCTTTCTATTGTTTTACGTCCTAGTCACGTGACTTTTAAGATTCCAGCTGGGAGTAGAAAAAAAATA